AAACACCAACTTTTCCTCCTAGGGGTTCACACTGTGTTGCTGCTTTTGGATGCTAATAAGGCAGGGGGAGGTATATAGTGTATGAATCTTTGCCTCCATTAAAACAAAGATAAATAAATAAATCAATATAAAAATTTTGAAAGACATAAAGGTTTGACCTCTATTGGTCTGAAGTAAAAATCTAAATATTCTTCTCAGAGATAAGGGCGCTGTGAAAACCTCTGATAGACAAAGGAAATGTGAACGCTTTGGGCAGCCTTAAGAAGTAGTGGGAAAGGGGCTCAGCTACCAGAATCATCCACAAAAGACACCGGAAAGCTCCAGGGAGCTGTCAAAAGAAAAAAAGAAAAGCAGAAGAATTAAAATGGTCCGCAGAGATTGAAATTCGACGGCAGTGGGCCTTTTGACAGTTCACATCCATCTTAGGCAGAGTCACTGTTTACTCTTATTGTGTCAGATTTCCTTTTCTGGTCTGCGTGTTCTCTAGGGTTTCAGAGATCAGTAGTTTTAGTTTTCAGATTTCAAAAGGATTTGGGATTTTCAAAAAACAAAACGTGAAGGGTACCCAACAGAATAGTTTACCTAAGATGTTTTAACCATAATAATCTGCATATTGTATTGTGAAATATTCTGCCTCACTGTCTGGTTTTTCTCTTTAGTGTCTGGGGAAAAGTCAAAAATCTCTCTGACTGACTTAAATAAAATATAAAATTGTAGTGGAAACACTTCATCCTGTTTTATCATATCCTGATAACTTTTCTGCTATCATAAATCAAAATTGTAAGAGCCACATTGACACACTATAATTAACGAGACATAGATATAAAATCAAGTTTTGTGGTAACACTTAGCTGTCATTACATTATGGACTTTGGCAAGTTCTCCGAATGCCAGAAAGCAACATGGTTTTGCATTCATTCTACAGCTTCTGAGACTGAACTGTGAATACTGGCAGTGCTTAATACATGTGAAGCAGAAATGATCACAACTTACTATGAGCCAAAATGCTCTTTGCAACAGGCATCAAGCAAGATCAAAATCCCATAACTTATACATAATACAGAATTGCTGCAGAAGAGATGCAGCATCATGCCAGACACTAAGTGAGTTATTTGCCTGCTGCCCTGTCTCACCACAGTTTCCTCCCACTTGGTCACACATGGTAAGCATTCATCTAACCTCCACCGCGTCCCCCAGTCTTATCAGCAGATCTACCCGGCCGCTGCAGCAGGATGAAGTGCATATTTCCAATAGAAAAAGGCCGACAACATTATTATTTTAATTAACCAGTTGCCAGGTTGCATTCTTTTTTCCTCTTTTTTTCTCCCTTAGCATCACTGTTTTCTCTCACCCAAAATTTAGTTTGCTATATTTAGTGAAAAACAAATAAAGAGCAAGATAAAGGATAGATAACAGGAAGGGAACAAGAGATGGAGGAGGAAGGGTAAAGGATCTGAAAAGCAAGAAACAAAGCTGAAATAAAGCTTTACCAGTGGGAAAGAGATTCAGAGTCGGAGGAAGCAAGGAGAGATGTGAGCGAAAGGGGACAAAAAAAGAATAAAGTTGTGCTATGTGTGTGTACAAATTCCCGGTGACAAATGTCAGCATTATTCATTGCAAACATGTACTACATTAAAGTAAAAAATGCCACTATGGATACAGGATGTAAGACCACAATGACAGAAGGTGTTTCGTTGCTGTCTGTGGTCTGTCACAGTGTACTTGGGATCACTAAAATGATGGCCTGTGGGATGACTGCACTGCCACGGTCAAGTCCTTTCGTTCTTTTGTGACTCTGTCAGCATTTCAAAAGAATAGAGTGTTTTCTTGAACACTCCATCTAGAGTAAAGTCAGTTATTAATTTATGTTATTGGACTAATAAAGACATGAAATAATAAAAAATAGTGTTTAATATTGGTTCTGATTAATGAAGGTAACAGAAGTTGATGCTAACTTATGATGCTAACAAATGAAATAAAATATGTTTATCATACTCTATACTGGTACCTGTATACTTATACCATGTTCAGCATAATTTTATAATTAATTCTTAGTATAAAATTTTACACATATCCATTTCTTAAGGCCTTGCATTTAAAATGTATGAATTGAATAAAATACCTTTAGAGACTGTGAAGAGAGACGACATAGGAAGTTGTGATTCTCACAAAAGGTCTTTTAAATTTTTCAGTGTTTTTTTGTGTGCGTGTGTGTCTGTGTGTGTGTGTGTGTGTGTGTGTGTGTGTGTGTGTGTGTGTGGAGGGTTCTGGCCACACACATGCTTTCTCTGAGTTGGAAGACTAACTTCCTGTTATAATCAATACAGATTACTTTTGGACTTCAAAAAAATCAGAGAAATATTCTAAATTGTTGAACTTTCTGGGTACATGTATCTTCTGCCTTAAGTTTATTTACTTTATAGTTTCCCTTCTTTTCTTTCTTTAGTGCCTGCTCAATATCACTGACTAAATCTTAGAAAAAAATCCCAAGATCACCTAGCCAAGCTGCAATCACTGAAGCAAACAAATGCTTGTTTAAAGAATGAGGGTAGCTCATGATTTTCTCCATGTTAAACCATTATATGATAGAAAATATAAATATTATTGTTAATTATAAAGTGCCTTCCCATGATTGTAGATTTACAATTATTTCTTACCAGTAAGTCATTTGAAAGATGATAAAGTCATAATCATATATATATATATATATGTTGTTGTTTTGTTCTGATTTTTGAGACAGGGTCTTGCAAGATAGTTCAGGTGGGCCTTAAACTCACTCTGTAGCCCAGGCTGGTCTTGAAATCATGGCAATCCTCTTGCCTCAGCCTCCTGAATGTTGGGATTACAGGCGTGTAGCACCAAACCCAGTCTCATAATTATACTTTTAAAATCAAATTATTTATATTTTCTTCTTCTCCCCCTATACCTTTTTAAATCCTATATTTTATAAAGTGCTTTATCCTCTTATATTTGTGTTTTTCACACATATCCAGAATGCCTATTTCTAGAGTTATGACTATATACATCCATCTGAGTACCTGTAGCCAACTAAGTACAGTCCTTCTGGGTAGATGTCTTAGAGAAAAGAAACTTTCTACAAATGTATTCTCACTTCAGTAACATTTATCTGTAGTTACCCTTTATTTTGCTACATTTTGCTAATGACATTTGAGTATGAAAAGAGGAAATTCTTTCAGAACTAGATACCCCATGATCAAACGTATGATCAGAAAAAAGGTTGACCACAGGTAGAGGAGGCAGAGTTGAGAATAACTTTATATCTTTCATGATCAAGATAATATGCTCATGGTACCGTGGTGGGCATTGCAGCAGAGCAGACTTGAGGAAAAGTTAACATTATAGAGAAAATAATGTGTAATAAGACACCTAAAATTAAGCCCCTTAATAAATAAGCAAATCACTTCCTTTTTTCCCTGCAACTCTGACAAAATGGGAATAATTATATTCAATAACCAGGAGTGGTGTAGAGTTGGTGTAAGTATCTGTCATTTTGTAATCAAAAGAAAACTTTCATATTTCATATAGGGTGTCCTACAGGTTGACTTTTAACTTCTCAATTACTTGTTGTATTTTAGAAAATAGATAACAGAGCATTTTCTTGACTACTTTGGGCAGATGAAAATATGAACATCAACTTATGTTACCGTCATCAATAAGAACCAAAAGAATATATGGACATATTTTCATCTTATAAATCAATTTAGAGAGAAATAAAGAGTTATTTTTACTCATGATTCTTAACATTTCTTTCCATTACCATTGACCCTCTTGCTTGGATCCCATGTTGAGGTAATACATGATGGCAGACGTGTATGGCAAAGCTAAACTTCTCACCCAGTGGGCAGAAAGGGAAAAAGAAAAGAAGGAAGGAATCAGACCCCACAGTCCCCACTTGGGACAGTCCTCCAATGACTTAAAACCCTCTTGAAGTTTCTACCACCTCTCAGTAGTGTCAAGCTAGACACTAAGCCTCTGACCCGTGGACATTTGGAGAACATTACAACTAGAGTGAATGTCTAGTCACCTGCCTCAAATGACCAAAATAGTAAAACAAACACTGTATATTGTTCAAAAACTCTAATTTTTTAAAAATTCTAAACCATTCTGGTTTACTACAGATTATATCTCTAGGTTAAAATTGTTGTTTTAGTCTTTTTTTCTATTAGACTAGAAAGTGGAGTAGCCAAGTATTCAACAGTATTCCTTTTGTCTACATCATAAGAGAAGCTCAGTTCTAAGCGTTGAGGTACAGCTGTGAACAAGACCTATTTTCTCTTCTCAGGGTCTACAAGGCCTAATTGAAATGTGGAGGAAACAGTGGATAAAGTTAAAAGAAGATATACCACGTGGGACATTCCAAAGCAAAGAGATAAATGTTACCATACAGGTGGATGCCACAGACAGCTCTTGGATTCACAACACTGTTAAGTACTTCAGTTTGCCATGTGTCTGACCCAGTGCAAGTACTTCACATGTAACATTTTACATGTAAACTTCATAACAATCCTAAGAGATAGATACTTGTTACCGTTTGATGCATGAAGGAATTAAGTCTTAGTGGCTTGCCCAAAATTACTTGCTATTAAAAGTGATAGATTCAGAATTTGGGCCTCTGTACATTGTATGTCACAGTAACTTCAGAGTATCACACTGAGAATGAGGAATACAGAATCATTCCAAGAATGGAGGTAGTGAGACTATAGAGAGTGATATGGAGAGAGAAATTAACCCAGAGGAGGAAGACAGCATGGTAGTTTCATGGAACAATCTCCAGAGCAGAGTGGAAGCACGGAGTTTCAGGAGACACAGAAGAAAGCGAGGATGAGTGAGTGCGGAGGTTTCCACCATACAGAACAGCCTCCTTAGGAGGTGACACTTCTGGTCAACTCCCAAGGCTCTGTCAGGGAGCCCTGGTGCTGTGAGTCTCATCATCCACCCTAATCCTTGAAGTTCCAAGTTCTGTGTATGTGCGCATGTGTTCATGTGTGTGTGTGTGTGTGCACGTGCGTGCATGTGTGTGTGGAAATAGCATTCTTCTCCCAAAATTTTTGTGTTAAGACCTTTAAAACGTGCTGGGGATTTAGCTTATTCTAGATTAAAGTTTACAAAGTTAATTTCAACACAGTAAAGCAACCTGACTAAGGTCAGTAGACAGCCAATTCTAGCTAGAACCCTTGTCTCTGCGCTTATTGCCTAAGGTCTTTTCATGCTGCCATTTGGCTATTTAATAACAAATTTAACGCTGAATATTGATTTTTTAAATTATGTTGGCACCAAAAATGAAACTGCATTTCCTAGTCTTCATCTTGGTCCCTTTTTTGCAGAGGTAATGCCAGGTTAATATCCCAAGAGCACAATTTAATGTACATTGCTCCTTTATTTCTATGAAATCAACTACTATTCGATCATTATCAAGAAAAACAGCAATCATATTGAAAGAGTGCTAATTTCATCTCCTTTTATATATTATATTGCTACATTTACTCACTTACAAAGCTGTAAGATAGATTAAGTGTAATTTATTTTCTTCCCTGACAAAATGATATCGTATATTTTTTGGATTATACACTTTGTCTCCTGTTTGGTTTATCAGAGAATGCAAAGAGTGTTTCAGGGAAAAAAAGAGAACAAAGTGAGTCCCTCAGTAGGTTGGGTAGTCCCTTATTTCATATTTTCCTTCTGATAACCTTTGACTATCAAATGAGTCACCATTTAACTCTTAGTTGCCATTCATCTTATCTGCACAAATTTCCTTCAGCAAAAAAAGGGAGTCCATCTGCCGTAAAGATACAGTTAGTTTTGAATGGAAATACAAAAAGGATATATTGTGTTCCTATAAAGCCTCTGCAAATATTGACTATGACAACGAGGAAATGGTTTGAAATAAAAAGAGCCAATGTAGATTTTAAAAATTTAAGAGCAATTTTATAAGGTCAGTGTTATTTAAAATCTGCCTCACGCACCATGTCCTCCTTGGCTCACTTTCCCCAGGAATGAAGGTCTCAGAAGGGTTTGGCCACACGCTGTGAACAAGGCTGTGTGCAGTCAGTGACTCGTGCAGCTCTGGAGCAAACGCAAGCCAGAAGGTGTGGAAAGCTCTGGAACCTGGAAACCAGGGCAGCTGCTCCTAAGGCATCCTTGGCAAACTGATTCCTAAAGTAGAAAGCCCGTGCTGACCTGTCTGCCTTCTCACCTGCTGCAGGGCAGAGAGCAGCCGCTCCAAGTTAACTACTCCAATTTAGAGCCTCAGCAAATATGGACCTTGTTCAGTCTCCAGGGCATTCTGCATCTTATGTTTTGTTGGTAATCTGCTGCAGTAAAGGCGCCGCACATATTTGTACTTTCTCAAGGGCTATCACAAAAATGGACTCTTCTTACTTCCTGTGAAGAACAAGAGAAAATCATCCTTCAAATGCCACTGGCGATCAGAGGCTATCCTCGAGGGTTAGGACAAGTTTGGGAATAGAAGCCATTACAAAATGGAGCAGTACTTTTAAAAAATGATTTCATCGTATAAATTTTTTATATGTACATGAAGTTTATACAGTTTCATATTTGAGGGGTATTTGAGAAAATAAAAGTATGCTTATATGTTTTTGAACTTTTAAAATATCATAGGATCCTGGAAGCCAGTGAACAGGCATTTGAAATAGTTAAACTTGCAGACAGACTCATTCATTACTTTTCAGAGAAGAAAATCTTTTTAGAGCTGAAACATTCAATTCCTGGTTTTAGTCCAAAGGTTCTGTTCAGTTGTTTTGAAGTTACAGGGAAAAAATGTACTTTTCCTATCGTACCCATTGACATTTTTAAACAAAAATAATTCAAAGATATTTAAACAGTACAACTTCAGATGTCTGTGGTTAATCCATTGTGGAGAAGCATCTGTAGGAGAAAATAAAACTATGAAAAAATAAACTTGGAGTTTGATCATCCTTTCAAACACTGGAATCAAACTAAAATTCTAAGTTTATGATTTATGATCAAAGTTGAGCTCATTTTAAACTACATAAATGAAAAATATAGGTTCTTGTATTATCTTTTCTAAAAACATTGAAAGGGAAAGCTTTTTAAAAACTATTGTATTTAGAAAGACAGAACAAAACAGTCACTTGCCAGTGACCTGTGCTTCATAAAGAATTAGTCTAATTCTTACAGTTCAGAATATTTCTTGGGGAAAGCTAATCTTTATTAAATTTATACAAAGTAAAATTAACATGTGATGTTTTCCCTACATTTTTCTGTTATAATTGGAACTGAAATTATCTTCTTAAATTGCCAAAAATGTATGACTTTTTTAAAGGAGAAAACTACATGAGATAAAACTTATTTATGTGCCACTGTTCTAGATGTGACAAATTTAGGAAAATGGAAAATCTATGACTGAATTCTCCAGGGAGGTACTTTATCTTTTGCAACTTTGACTTCTCTAGCTGTAAATGAAGAGTTCACAATATCTATAGAACAATGTAGGTAATGTCCAGCACATTGCACATACTTAGAAATTGTTAGTTTCCTTGGCCTTTAATTAGAAATTAAGAAACAGGTAAAATGAAACCATACCTACTAGTCAATACAAAACAAACTTATGTAATAAAATAATTTACTCTCCTAGGCATCAAAGTATTTTTCAAGGTATGATAGATATACTATGAGTGGATGTGAAAGGGAAGAGAATATAAAATATTAGATTCTTTCACATGTAGAAGAGTACTATTTCATGAAACTTTCATTTTAATTATATTTATGTTACATATATATATATATATGTATTGTTTTCTAAGTCACTACATAAAATGTTTATTTCATTAGGGTTTGCAGTTTTTTTAAATGAATTGTTTTATCTGTTCCTCCTATTCACAATGAGACATTTTGGGGAGTACACATAAAGACAGTCTTGAATCTTTGCCAGTGTTCAAAAGTTCATCACTGAATTTTCATCAACATAATACATTTTCCATATCAAAGTGAAATGCAATCTATTATTCTGGTTGTTGGAACAACTAGTAACTTTCTTGAGCACCTACTAGTTATGAGATACTATGATCACCCCATTAATCTTTAACACTCTTTATAAGGTATTATCTTTATTTTACAATGAAGAAGCCGAGGTTCAGAGATATGAACTCAAACCCAGGATCAGATTCCAGTTTGGTCTCATGCAAGCTCTTGCTTTGCACTCCTAAACTGCAAAAATATTCTTGATAGAACATAGAAGCAGAGAAATGACACTCATGAGTAAGACTTAACTGCCAGAGGTTTGCTGAGTATAGACTCAGGCAGGACTGTGCTTCACAAAGGAAACAGTACATGGGTGGTGTGTTCCTCTCACAGGGCAAATCTGGTCTATCAGTGCCTGGTTTAGTCATAACACAAGTTAGCCCTTTAAAGAGTCAGAACTGTATAAATACAGTACAGGAAGTTCAAAAAGTAATATTTTAGAAACCACATTCTTTTCCGCAGAACAGACAGCACAGAAGGTTCCATTTCCCACATTAAAACACTCTGTCTTCTCCTTGGGACACAGTGAAACATTTACTAAGAAGTCTGAACAGCCAGGAGCATGAACCCTGATTTTTTTCCCTCTGTGTTCACAAGAGCAATGGACTCAATGGCAGTCCAAGATTCTGAAATAGCCTGTTCAGATTTCTTTGCTCATGCTCAGCTAATATGAATCACTTTGACTAAGTATTCCCTTCCTTTGCAGAATGGTATTCTGACATTATTAATAGTTGGCTCAGTTGAGCTGACCACAATAAGAGCTTTCTCTAGCCTGAGATAAAGCCAACGAGCCCTTGTGAATGTCAGTATTAAGCTTGGGGATGGATTCAGATCCAAATTTTAAAATATAATAAACACTCTCCAAAGATATATTACAATGGGCCAGCTACTAAAAACAGGGCAATTGTGGAACTCCAGATGAAATCTAATCTTTGAATGTATCATCTGAGAACATGTCATAGAATACAGCGTTCTTAGGGAAATTTCCACAATACCTCCTCAAGAATGTATTTGTATATTTTTTTCTGCTTGCTTGAAGCTTACCAGCTCAAATCTGAATTAACTTATGCTTATGTGTTAAGAAACAATTTTAAAATTATCTTCTGTTTCAAAATTGCTCACTTGTAAATAGTGTGTACTCAGAAAAAGATGTTGTAAAGAGTTCAGAAAACACTGAGTCATGAAACATGCTTCTCCTGGCCAAGTGTATGGTACTAGAAAGACATTCAGAGTGGCTTGAAAATTTTACTTTAAGTGATGCCCATGGATCTTAAATGAATAATCTTTCTTATCAAAAAACCAGTGGATAGAACTCCAATCAAATTGGGCCAAACCACCATGTATTGAGAATAGAAGTAGCCTCTTCAATCACTTAGTTTGTGCCTTGTTTAAAGCAGTAATATAATGAAGAGCCTACCATTTGTCTGGAATTTTTTTAATCCAAAAATAAATGGTAATTTACTTCTCAACAGTAAACTTTTAAACCACTGACAACTTTCCTTGCACACTCTTATGTTCTTTACCACAGATTTTACATTAAAGCAGCAAGGCTATTGAACCCACGTTTTATCTCAATGAGTATAGGACAGGAATTATATCTGCATACTCATATAACTTCAGATAGCATTTTAAAAGCTGATCTCAAAATTATTTCTAAGGATTTTTCTGTTAATTTTTTAAAAAGTTTTACTTCTGTATTTTTCCGTAGTCATTTTTCAGAGGTATGTTATTCTGAGTATCTATGTAGTATTGGCTCAGTATAGAAAAATTAGAGATCACAGAAAAATAGGGATGAAACAAATTTCTACAATACTGCCACACAAGAGAAATCAGTGTTAACAATTACAATATCTATCCATTTAAAATTATCTTCAATGTATATAAGCAAGAAGTTTCACCAAAATATCACCATATTGCATATACAGCTCCAACAAACTATCAGTTACAAACAATTTTCGTTGTTATTAAAATTTTTTCAAGCTGGTAAAATGCTGTAATTTTACCTACTTGAGAGGCTGAGGCAGCAGGACTGCAAGTTAAGGCCAGTGCAGGCAACTTATCAAAACTCTCTCTGTCTCAATAAACTTACAATGTTTTTAACAACAGCGAACTGTATACTCTTGAATTGTATAATAAATTATCTTGAATCATTAAACATTAGGAATTCTTCCAGTTGTTTACATTATAAGTTATACATTGTCTTTTTCTTTGCTCCTCATATTCATTAATTTTTACAGGCAGAATTGATGTATCTTAAGAAGGTGTTGAAACTTTTCATAAGTAAGGTCATCATGTGGTATCTGCACATTCTGTGTCCATTAGTCCAATATTGGATCAAAAATACTCAGAAAACATGCACTTATAGTGAATGTGTGCAGATTTTCCTCCATGTCATTATTGCTTAAGCAATGAAATAATTACATATATCCCTAATAGTAAATATCATAAGTAATCCTGAGAAGATTTAAAGTATAAGGAAGAATTTGTAAAGTTATATGCCAATACTATGTTATTTTATACAAAGAACTTTAGTATCCATGGATTTGTTATTTTTGAGGGTCCTGGAACTAACAGCCTGCAGATACTGAGGAATGACTGTGTTACTGATTTGCACTCAGAAAAATGGGAAGGGTATCATCTCCTTCCTGTTCTATTGCTGTCTATCTCGGGGACTGTCATTGTGTTATGCAGCCTTTAAAATGGTCCTCAGTGATTCTCTTCTCTTAAGCAGTGAGCCTATTTAAGTGCAGGCTGCATGCAATCACCTGCTTCTAACAAAAAGAAGATGGCAGAAATGTTGGGCTGTTTCTTCACTTCAGTGAAGTTAAGTTAAACGAATTTCTACCTGGATACCATCCCAATCACCCTAGGGCAAGCAAGCTACCAAATTGTTGCCAGTCAAATGGAAAACCATATATGACATGACAAAGAATTAAAGTCCTTAGTCTAACAACCCAAGAGAAGTTGAAGCTTGCCAACAACCACATGAATGAGCTCGTGAGGACCCTTCTGTCTTAGTCTTGTCATGATTGTAAATTCCTGAGGAAACTTGCGCCAGAACCACTCAGCTAAATTGGGCCAAATTCTTTCATAATTTTTGCTTTGCTTATAATTATTTATCATACTACTTTTGTTTGCCAAACATTTATTTTATCCTTTCTATAATATCTGATTTTAAGATAAACAAAAGAAACATTTTAATTACATTAAGAATGGCAAGCTACATTAGTTTTCCTTTAATCTCTTAAGATCTAAGTATAATAATATAAATAACAATATCAACTAATTGGTCTTCTCAAGCACATTCGGTGAGATGATCATCCGTTTCAGTGATGTGAAATACATCACTATGGTAAAAAAGGTTTCAATGGTGTTTAGAT